GGATCAAATACGGATCAAAATACGACAATTATAATACGTATAGCCCACATAAATAACGGACAATTATAATACGTGATAGCACCACGAAAACCCTCTCTCTCTCTCTCTCTCTCTCTCTCTCGGCGTCTCCTCTTCTCTCTTATATAATATATATATATAAGTAGTTAGTATATAATTATATATTACATTTTTATCTTAAAATAAATAGTTAGACGGATTAGATGAGTCAATTCATAGCACGATCCACGATCCGCTTAAAATTTATGTCATATGTGGATCACTCGTTTATGACACGAACTTATTTAAACTCAACCTTAATCCGTTTAATTTTGATATTAAATAAATTGTATTCTGGTGTCATATACCATGTAACACCCTGACAGGAGCATTTCACATTTCAGAAATGGAAAATTTTGAAGGCTTGAAATATCAACATTCATTAATATTTATGATTGGAGAAAATATGAGCCGTCAACAAAGCCTGCCATAGACTTGTGCAAGTCTTTTTGGTGGGACTCTAATGGCTAACTTATCAAGGAGTTTAGGACTGGGGGCAAACAAAGACTTGAACAAGTCTTCAATAAAGCCATTCTCACCTGCAGGGTCTAAATACTTTTAAAAGTCTCTGAGGGTCTATGCAAATTGCACGTAATTTACAACTCTTTAGCAAAATGTTTGAAGACAAAAATGAAAAATTGATGTTAACTTCACTTCTTTGCTGGTTTTGCAATAGATTACAAACAAAAAGATATCCAATGTTAATGTTGATTTCACTTCAATTAAATCATATTTGAAGAACAAAAAACTGATCTCAAAACTGTAACAAACAAAAGCGATGGATATAGTCAGTGGCAGAGCCAGGATTGAAGACAAAGGAGGACAAAAATTATTATTTCTTTTCAAAAGTTAGGAAGCGCTAAATTAAAAAGTATTATATTTTAAGGAATAAAATTGAAAATTTTTAGAAATTTAGAGTTGAATTATTAAAAAAAAAAAAATTACTGAGGGGTCACCCTTGACATGCCGTCCCTCCGTCACTAAATATAATCATACTTTAATCCAAATCAATTGAGTCTAAACCTAAGCAACCGGCGAAAATGAGGATTAAACACAAAAGATTGTTAGATATCTTTTCTTTTTCTTTTTTTTTTTTCAAAGACTTTCTTCTTTCTTTCTTCTCTCTTTCTTCTCTTTGCTTCAATTAAGGATTGTTCTTCTTCCTCAACAAGTACTTTCATGCTAAAGCATGTGAAATCCAAACAAATGAGGGCAACTGAATTGCAATTACACATTTACTTGCAACCCAAGCCTATACCTGATCTACGAGAGTGGGGTCATGTCCCTCTCGATTTTATTTCCAATATTGTAAGAGTTGATTCAGTTTAATTTAAATTTCAGTTTTATCTTTCAAAAAAAAATAATAATAATAAACAATGTGAAATATTATTATATTAAATCGGCAACTAATTTATTAACTTCAAAAACTTTGGAAGAATTTGATTTTATACGACAACTATCACACTGTCGATAATGCTCGTCATATTATTCTATATACTATTCTCTCTGTGCCCTATGTCATATATTTGAACACCGTGGTGCATCTGTGCTCAAAAATAAGTGAGTTTAATTATAAGTCATTTAATTTCTATTATTATTTTTCAATCTGAGATTCACTTCTTAACCATTGATTTGGTTTGTTTACCCTTTTTTCAATTTTCAGTATGATCAAAAATAACTTTATACAAATATTACTTTGTAATATTTAAAATGTAAATTGAAGTAAAATTCAAATATTTTACAAATTCTTTATAATATGTGGAAAGAAAACACACAGTACATAAATAATTGTTGGCCTTTCACTAGACTGGTTTCAGTCTCCCATCCCTATGAATTGTGAATTTCTTTTCTAAGGGTCCATGAGATGTAAGTTGTTGGGATTTCTTGTCTCATACCAAAATTACAAAGGGACAGAGTTAGGTGCCCTAATTTATTTCCCGATAACCAAACAAATTTACTGGCATGGACTTAGTTTTGACCTTTGTTGATCAATTAGTGATCAGAAATCACCATAACCTTTCAAGATTTTTATATTCAACAACAAAGAACAGTAAAAATTTTGGAAATTGATATTGCATTTTCTATAATTTTATTCTGCCATAATCTAAGTATCTGATTAATTGTTATAGTATGATTTTTCTTATCTGAAATTCTAGCATGGTTAATTCATAAGATCAATTAGTTATCAGTATATGCGTAGGACACATAATGTATTTATTATTTGAAATTGTAGAATATATGTAGAATATAAAATATAATTACAGAATATGCATTAACCATGAAGTATTGAAGTTCAAAAAATAAAAAGCAAATATAATTGTATTTGATAGGCCTCGATAGGACAATTCAAGCCCCTAGTGGCCTGCTAACTTTAAAGGCTTAGCCAATCTAACCCAAAACTTAACCATCCACAAACTCATACCAAGTTGCAAGAATTGGACTTCAGTCGAGTAGACTTGTCCTTAGTTTTTCCTAATTCCATATCAATTTATCTACTTCTTTCTCGGACTAAAATCCCATTATATTTAAAAAATGAATTTTTTTTTATTTTTTTTTTAATTTTTTAAAAATATTTATTTTGAATTCAAGAAATATTTAAAATTAAAAAATCATTCCCTAAAATGTTAAAAATAATTTTAGAGATTTTTATTTATTTATAAAATAGTTAACTTTTCAATTTTATTTAACCTCTTCTCTCCAAATGGTCTTTCGTACTGATACTCAATAAAAAAGAGAAATAAGAACAAATGGGTACAATTAATTAACAAAAATAAAGATAAACCCAGAAAGAGAAGTATAAAAATGCAGCAAGCCAGCACCAAATACCAATGCATGAGATATGAGAGAGAGGAAGTCTTAGTTTCTGAAACAACCAAAAGGTAAATGTGAATAAAATACTAAAAGAGGTGGTAAATACTAAAAGAGGTGGTCAATCAAAAGATAGAAACATAGATATTATAGATATATGGATACCAAAAGGTAAATGTGAATAATGAGAAAACAACCTTGTTATCAATGACGGTCTTTACAAAGCACACCTCACGTTCTCCCCCTTCTCTATTCTCTGTGTGAACTCTTCTTTTCGCGGGAAAAAGAAAAGAGAGAATAAACGGTCTGTCTTTAGAGTCTTTGTGATCAGTCTTAGTCTAAGAAAAAAGAGAAAAAAGAATTTTTTTTTCCTCTCAAGTCAAAAACAAGAAACGAATCTGACAAAAACCCATGAATGAGATTATACCAACAATCAAATCAAACTTAAAATCAAAGAAAAACCAGAGAAAAATTAGTTCAATCCTTCCCTCCCGCTGCCCGCTGCCCACTGCTCTTTTATATATTCATTTGAATTCAAGAAATATTAAAAATTAAAAACATTCATCCCTAAAATTTTATTTATTTAATATTAAAAATATTAAAGAAAAACATTCATGAGATTTCAACTCCACTGATCTATATAATCCACTTTTATTAAAATTAATTAGAGTAAATTATTCTAATTATTAAAAGAAATTATGAAACAAAGTATAGTGTTATTTATAATAACAATAAAAATAGAATAGAATTACAGTCTCTCTTGCACTAAGTGGTAGAAATTAAAGGAGAGAGAACATTATCATGATTCAAACAAATAGGGAATCATGTGGCCTATAAATAGGGAGTGATATATGCTGAAATTGAACATAATTAAATTTCGCAAACACAAAACATGGGTTTTGGTTGCTTACTGTTGCATTTTCAATTTCTCTGTCTCCTATTTCACTTCCATTTTCTTTCTTCAAACATTACAAATTCCCCTTTCCCAAATGTAGTTTGCCAGCTTGATCAAAGCAATGCCTTGCTCCAATTCAAAAACTCCTTCACCATTAGGACATTAGGAGGAGTTTTCCTTCTTTTATTAATTCTTATCCCAAGACAGATTCATGGAAAGAGGGCATGGATTGTTGCTTCTTTTGGGATGGTGTCAGCTGTGACTTTAATACTGGCTATGTAATTGGGCTTAACCTTTCTTACAGTATGCTTTACGGTAACTTCCATTCAAATAATTCTATTTTCGCTCTTCATCATCTTCAAAAACTAGATCTCTCTTACAATAATTTCATACGCTCCATAATTCCATCTCAAATTGGCCATTTGTTGAGCTTGACACACCTTAATCTAAACAATTCCATTAGAAATCAGTCAGCTATCCAAATTGGTTTCTCTTGATCTTTCCTTTAACTCTTTGACATTAGAAACAACTGCTAGTTTTGACAAGCTTATTCGAAACTTAACCAAATTGCAAGAATTAGACCTGAGCTTTGCAGACCTGTCTTTGGTTTCTCCTAATTCCTTTATCAATTTATCTACTTCTTTGTCATCCCTCAGACTCTCATCTTCTAGGTTGAGAGGAAAATTTCCAGACAATATAATTCAGCTTCCACATCTCGAAGTCTTAGACTTAGCGTGTAATGAAGGCCTCAATGTCTCTTTTCCAACATCAAATTGGAGTCTTTCACTCTACCATTTGTCTCTTTCTTGGACTAAAATTCCAGTATATTTAGAAAATGAATTTTTCAAAAATCTAAATTTGTTAGAATCACTGCAACTTGAAAGTTGCAATTTCATAGGGTCTAATGCATTGTTTGGTAATTTATCAAAATCTCAACTGAGTTTGGATCTATCGTATACATAATTTCGTGGTCAAATTCATTAAAAAATCGGTCAACTATCTAATTTGATTTCTCTTGATCTTTCCTGGGAACAGTCTTTAATAAATACAAACAACTACTAGCTTTAACAAGCTTTTTCGAAACTTTACCAAGTTGCAAGAGTTGGACTTGGGGAGTACAAACCTCTCTTTGGTTTCACCTAATTCATTTATCAATTTATCTTCTTCTTTGTCATCTCTCCAACTTTCATCTTGTGGATTAAGAGGGAAATTTCCAAATAATATAATTCAACTTCCAAACCTTAAAGTCCTTGATTTATCATGGAATGAAGGTCTCACTAGCTTCACTTTTATATCAAATTGGAGTATCTCACTCAGTTACTTGTCACTTTCTTGGACTAAAATTCCGATTTATTTAGAAAATGAATTCTTCAAGAATATGAAGTTGTTGCAAGAACTGGAACTCAATAGTTGCAATTTTATAGAGTCTAATCTTGAATTGTTTGGTAATTTATCCAAACTCATCAAATTGGATCTTGCAGAGAATAATTTCAGTGGCCCAATTCCATCCTCAATTGGAAAACTTGAAAAACTCTATTGGTTGGACCTTTCTGGACAATAATTTTAGTGGCCCAATTCCTCCCTCATTTGCAAACCTTAGCCAGCTCTCCTATTTACTTATGGAAAGCGACAATATCAATGGTCCAATTCCATCTTTCATTGGAAACTGTAACCAACTCCAAGTGTTGGACCTTTCATACAATAATTTTATTGGCCCAATTCCTCCCTCATTTGCAAACCTTAGCCAGCTCATCGATTTATATATGGGAAGCAACAATATCAATGGTCCAATTCCATCTTTCATTGGAAACTGTAACCAACTCAAAGGTTTGGACCTTTCATACAATAATTTTAGTGGTCCAATTCCTTCAGATCAATTCAAATATAATAATACATTATACTATGTTGATCTGAGCCATAACAAGTTGTCTGGCATAGTTCCAAGCTCAATTTTCAATCAGGTGGACTTGAGGTTTTTCATTCTTTCATCAAATGAGAAATTGACAGGAGAAATTCCTTCTACAGTTTGTGAGTTAAAATACCTCGAAATCCTTGACCTGTCGAGTAAACAATTTCAGTGGTCCCATTCCACAATGTTTGGGAAACTTCAGCAGTAGCCTTTCAGCATTACATCTGGGTATGAACAACTTTAATGGAGTTCTCCCTCAAGTATTTTCAAAATGCAGTAACGTGAGATATTTGAATTTCAATGGCAACCAACTGCAAGGGAAAATCCCAACGTCTATTTCCAATTGTAAAGATTTGGAAGTTTTAGATGTGGGCAACAATGAGATAGAGGACACATTCCCTTCTTTTCTACAAACTCTTCAAAAGTTGCAGATTCTACAGCTCCTCCAATAGACTCCATGGTTTGGTGAAAAGCCACTCCATTGCCAACTATCCGTTTCCCAAGCTACGGATTTTTGACCTCTCCAACAACAATTTCAGTGGACCTTTGCTTTCATATTATTTCAATAATTTCGATGCGATGATCAATGTTGATCTTGATCAGAATATGACATACATGGGATCACCAAACTACCCCTATTATGATTATTCTGTGAGCTTGACATTGAAAGGATTGGAAATTGAGTTGGTGGAAATCCAAACTCTTTTAACAACCATTAATTTGTCAGGTAATAACTTCACAGGGAAAATTCCCAAGTCAGTTGGAAAGCTTAAAGCACTTAAGCAACTCAACATGTCTCATAATCATCTCACAGGCAATATTGAACCATCAATAGGAAATTTGACCAATCTGGAAACTTTGGACCTCTCTTCAAATAATCTTACTGGAAGGAACTGGAAGGATTCCGATCCAATTGGCAACTTTGACATCCCTCGAAGTATTTCGAGTTTCGCATAATCAACTTGAAGGACCCATACCTACAGGCTCTCAATTCAACACATTTGATAATAGCTCGTATAAAGGAAACACAGGACTGTGTGGATTTCCACTGCAAAAGGCTTGTAATTCTGGTGAAAGGCAAAAAGTCACGACACCATCAGGCGAAGAAGATTCAAACTCTGATGAAAATGGATTTGGATGGAAATCTGTTTTCACGGGATATGCATTTGGAGCAGTGTTTGGTCTCGCAATGGGATACTGTGTGTCAGAACAAGAAAAACCTACTTGTTGGTGAAGCGGATTGGAAGGTGAAGACATCAAGGCTGAAAAGAAGTCAACAACACCTGCATATCTTATCAGAGAAGAAAGAAGAAGAAGAAAATTAGTGGAATGCGAATTGCTTTCTGAAGGTAAGTTTTATTTATCTGTCTTCATACTCAAATTAAACTAAGATTTTTATTTCATATGAACTTTGACTTGTGTTAGGTAATTCAAAGATGAATAAGCAGATGTGTGATTTGCATGCCAAAGTGGAAAGAAAGAGATCTCTTCTGTTGCTCAGAATCAAATGTCTCTCGCTACTTGGGTACATCTACAACAAAAAGCTCTTTAAATTTTTAAGCTATAATTTCCTCTCTTCTTTTTTTTGTTGTTTTTCCCTCTTTTTTCTGTGTTGTCTATATATGTAAAATTAATTTTACAAGTCAGACTTTTATTGATCTCTCTTTGAAAAGAATAAGTCAAATTTCATGTGAAAAAGATATATAATCCACAACTAAAGAAATAGTTTATTTTCTTGCCAGAGGAGAACTAAAAGCCATCCCTTTGCCTCTTAAGGTTTCCTATGATTTTATGAAATTTTTGGGTTCATTTGTCTCTTTTCCAAAATTGCCAGAAGACAGAGTTTAGTGTCCATAATTTAGTTCCGAGAACCAAACAAATTTGCTAAGCATAAACTTAGTATTTCCCTTCTGTGCGATAAAGACATCACTATATAAACGACAAATTTGAAATATATTAGTATAATATGGATAATTGAATATTTGCATGTTTTTCAAAAATTTCAGTCACGAGAAGATCTAAGTGAAAACTAAAAAAAATTTTAGTATTTTTTCATTATTGTAATATAATTCTTTCTTAGTATTTGAACAAAGCGATTGTTTTTTTTTGTAGTGGTTAATCCTTATGATACATAATTAACTTAAACTTATTTTTTATAAAATATAAAAAAGAGTAATGAACTCAATAATAGAAAAAATCTCAGGAATGTAAATAATAGTTATCCTATTTAATTAAATAATCGTATTAAACTCATTTTCATGTCTCTGAGTATAAAATTCATTTGGATGATGGAAAACTACATATTCACTGTAACTTTCCTTTTTACAAGACAAATTACAAAATGAACTCTCATATGATGTGTTTTTGTATAATAAAGCGATGATTAATTGTACAAGGTATAATTGTTAAATTTTGTAAGCAAATGGTCAAAAAACTCACATTTTTCTCTTTTTTTTTATTTTTGAAATTCTAATAAAACCAAATGTGACTCATAATTAATAGTTGCTCTTATATGCTTACTAGATGATGCTATTCAAATAGAAATTAAAATGTTTTAAAACATACTCTTAAAGAAAGATTCAATAATAGATATTACAGTGTTTATTAATTATTGGAGTATAATTATTTTTTAATAAAATAAATATGATAAATTTTTTTAATAAATATATATGATAAATAAGAAATTTAAAATTTTTATATTTTATTTTTCAAAGTTATTATTTATTTGAAATTTTTGCATATTCATGGCGTAAATAATATATTATTATGCATGACTGAAACGATCCAAAAAATTATTTTCAAAGATTTTTCATTTAAAAAATTAATTATAAACTCTAACCAATGAAATTGAGCGGAAAATATTTAATTAGTCCTAAGACTGATCTATAAATCAGTCTGAATTTTTAAAAAACCAAGTGAAAAACCGTAAACCAAGCAAAACCCGAGTCAAATCACTGAGTTCCTAGATTTTTCCCTTTTCTTTCTTTATTTCTTTCTTTCCTCTTCTTCCTCCTTCTTTTCTTCTGGCTGGGTACAGCGACAGGCCCGTCGCCGACTACCTCTTCTCCCCCGTTCTCTTGTTTTTTTTCTTTTCCGGTCACCAGAGATGAATTCGACGGAGTTCGTTGCGCCGCCTTCTCCTTGCCGTCGCGCCTCAACTCCTCTCTCCCTCTGTTTTCTTTGGAGCGAACCGCAGCAGGGCCACCAGCCTCCAGCCGCTCCAGCCGCTGCTTTCATGTTGAATTCTCTTTCACTGCGAATCCAGGCGAGGCACGCCAACTCTACATAGCAAATTCATAGGATCTTATTTGGAAATGCAAAGTTATATTATACTTTCCTTAATTAATAGATATGGATTGAATCATAATATAAAATTGAATAAAAAACAAAAAATGGTATTGATGACTATGTGGGAATAGCAGAATATAAAATACAATTCAAAATAGAAAATAATTAAAATTACTAGCAACGGCGCTTAAAGAAATATTATTTCAAAGAAAAATTATTGAACGATAAATAGTAAACTTAAATCAAATGAAGTGGTGAATTAAATTCTCGGTGTATGTAGTAAACATAGTATATAAGTTGTAAGGCAAGGGAGAACCTTAGTATTTGGATGGACAGAGCTATTGCAGATAATTCGATACCATTTTATATATAAACTATGTAATAAGGACATACATAATTTTCAATGTTTTTTATATGGATTAGTGTCGGTTATAATCTAAAGGAATTTTATGTCAAGAACGGAGAGATTACGTGAACTTTGATGATACATAGTTAAAATTGTAAATGGGTTACAGAAGCATGCTTTCTAAATTTATAATTTAATTGAAACCATCGATTCTCTAATAGCACTAGAATTTAATAAATTAGTTTTCTTTCTAAAAAAAGGGGAACGGATTTTGTGTTGATATCCCTAAGTAAAGAATGATTGAGAATATTATTGGAAGCGGTTGAAACTTACTTTAATTCGTAAATTTATAGTTGAGATAGTTGGGTGATAATGTTGATGTTTAAGGAGGATGGGTAGCCCGACAAATAGGCTGTGTGAATTGAGTAAATGTTTAGATGAATAAAAAATGGTTTCGGTGAGGCCACTGACTAATTTTCATGTGATGTAATTATGTGAAGGTGATAATATTTTTGATTGTTGTTGTTATGTCATTTGTGTGATCGCTTGCTTGATCATATAACTAGTCGAATGACTAGATGGATATATTTACACATTCGTGTGAATGCATGTGTTGTGCAATAATTATTATTCTTTATAAAACTTACATGTCCTTGTTTAACTTTTCTTTTTCATGGAATAGATTCTTCTTGTCCTGTTAAAACTGCTGTTTCCGGTCATCGCAAAGCTAGAAAAGAATTTTTATAATTTCATTAATAATAAATAATTATATTATGAAAAGCTTATTTATATTGTATATTATTTGTTAGTTGATCCTACAGTGTAGGATTTATGCACCTCTAGTCATGTATTTAAAAAGTCATGTATTAAAATAGATATAATAATTTTATGAAACCATAAATGTTTTAATTATTTTTCTAAGTGTATGTATTAATCAGTAGCCCATATTATGAATGATAAGTATTATTATTAAGCTCAAACTATGTTTTATTCGAGATATTGAAATTGGGCCAGGAATGTGTGATTATATATATATATACACGAATTTATATGGGCTTATTACTCCTAGGATTTTGCGTGGCGTGTATGAGTTTGATAGTTTAAACTTACTACGGGCCTTAAGAGCTTTAAACTTACTTGGGTTCTATTGCCATTCCGGCTCATGATATTGGGTTGTGACAGTAACATGGATGCATTTAGTTATGTTAGTATATTATTTACGGTCTAACATAAACGTGTTTCTAAACGTGTTTCATTAATCAGACACTTCTTGTATAAGTCTAATTAAATATATTTGGAATTATATATAAATAATCAACCTACTCATATAATCATGTAAGATTTTCTCTTCACATTATTATAATATTCTAATAGAAATTTCCATGATGAATGATTTGGATTAGGGTTTCTTTAACAAATCAAACTATTGTCTATGCAAAAATGGGACCTTATTCTAAATTATGGGAATTAATGCACAATTGCTGGATGATTAGGGTTCTTGGAGTCAAATTGTGAGATCACATTAGCCACTATTAGTGTATATATGACGAAATTTCAGCAATCTATCAATATCATAAACATTTTTTAACATAATTTTTGTTGAAAATTTGTTTGAATTATGCTATTTAACATACTATAGCTAGAATCATGTTTGAATTATGCTATTTAACATACTATAGCTAGAATCATAAATTGAGACTATTGGTATAATGTCATTTGGCATCATATGAAAATCTTGAAGCATAAGAGATAAGATTTTAAGGTACTCACATATCAAAAAAAGAAAAGAAAAAATTTAAATTACTCTTAAATATTATAATTAAATGATTGGATAAGAACTTAGCTATAAAATCCCAACAGGAAGCACATGTTCATGGGTTGGCATCAAATTTTTTATAACCCTACTTCCTTATCATAGCTAGACATGGAGGTGACATGATTTATGCTCGAATTTTTTTTTTTTCCTTTTAGATCTTGATAGGCCTTTTTTATAAAGCCGATGATATTCAGATGATGAATTATTTCAATAGAAGCTGCTCTAGGTTCGAGACATTTGACTCTCTGTAAATATATAATGAAAGGATATGTTTCATTTCTACAAATCGCAACTATTCGAAAATTTTCTATTTCAAATTTTTACTAATTCACAACTAAATTTTGATATATCTAAAGATAATTATAGATTTGTTCGGTAAAATTAGTTATTTTGATAGTGCTTTACTGTTAACTGTTTAAGTAGCTTTTCATATATAAAACGTTAAAAATTAAACATTACACCGGTTAATTTTTTATAAAACATTATCTTAATCTCTAAAAACTTGTTCAAATGTTATT